AGGCGCCGAGCCCCTGATGTTAATTTTAACTTGATTTCTTAGGGATGTGGAATTATTAAGCAGAGAGATGTGCTCTTGGGCCAGCCAAGCTCAAGCTTCCCATGTATGCCCTTTTTTCTTCTTTTGGGTTAGCTATATTTTCACCTCAGCTGAGTTATTAATATTTCCATTTCTTTGAAATGCTTTTTTCTGTAATGTACAAATTTATGCAAATAGACAGATAGCTATAAATATAAAGCTACTGTTATATCTGTTATTCTGGTTTATAACTCTTCACTACCTGTGACCATGTGACAGTATAGTCAAAACTTGCATTTATTCATCAAGGACCACAGGGTTCAAATACAAAAATGTTTTGGGGGTCAGGAAGGATGTTTTAGTTCATATCCTTCAATGATTATTGTTTGTACTTTGCCATTCCACACCTCATGTTCTTTTTTTCTCCCACTAATTTTGTTCTCTCCATTGAACAACATTTTTGCTCTCATCTCTCCTACTCTCTTCCTTAAATCATCTTTTCTTCCATGATTCTCCTGTCATCAGTATTATTGCCCTCTGGAATCTCATATAAACTCTAGTTCTAGAAAGAAGGCTATAACTGTTAAAGACCCTAGTTTGGCAAAATTTGGTAGATTTTGGTAGATCCTGGCTCTGCCTCCTTCTGTCTGCCAAATATCCCACATCATACCACCACTTACAGAAACATTTGTCCACACACCAGATAGTATGTTTACTTTTAGTAATCTGTTGTCTCTTTTCTTTTAGTGACCATGTTTTTAAACATCCAACTCACACTGCCAAAAATAGAAAGCAGCAGTTACCAGTAACAGGTATGATTAAAAATATTTCTAATTCATTTTTTGAAGAAAACATATATTTTGGTGACTGATACAGTTAAAAATATACATTAATATATTGCCCTTTAAAGTATAAGCTACACTTTTGACTCATTCTGGTGTAAATGCCTTCTATTCATATCCAAGATCTTTCTGTATATCCACCAGGATGACTCAGTTTATATATTACTGGGCTATAGTTTATGAAAATCTTGAGAATTAATAAATTTTATAAATGTTTGGTTTTTTAATTAATAAAAAATCTTGCATTTTATAATTTTTTTCTAGATCCATTTACATTGTGTTCAGATATAATAAACAAAGAAGTAATCGGTTTTTTAGCAACTGAGGATTGTTCAAAGATGTTGAAATATAGGTGCTCAGGTAAATATTTTTTAATTACATTAGAATTTTATATGATATTATTTAACTAGAATTAGCAATAATTCTACCTATGTGATTTAAACTCCATTTCCTTTGGAGATGTAACAATCTGGGACATCAAAGCATTCAAATTAGTATCTTCTACCTACATCAGGCTGAGCTCCCAATATTTGTTTATATGAATCAACATACTACTTTTTTTATTGTATTATCATTCTCTTTTTGTCATAATACCATATAAGTTTAGCATTATTGTAAACATTTTTTATGTTTTCAGAGATTATGTTCTAAACATTATAGGCATTAACTATGAAACAATACCTATTTTTATATTCATAATAAATACATAAATGTTTACAATATTTCATGCCCCATTACTTATTTTTTTCTGCAGGGCCCTTATAAATGAATGTTTCAGAGTCTTTTTTTTTTGAGACAGAGCCTCAAGCTGTCCCCCTGGGTAGAGTGCTATGGCTTCACTGCTCACAGCAATCTCCAACTCCTGGGCTCAAGCGAGTCTCCTGCCTCAGCCTCCCAAGTAGCTGGGACCACAGGCGCCCGCCACAATGCCCGGCTATTTTTTGGTTGCAGCCGTCATTGTTGTTTGGTGGGCCTGGGCTGGGGATTCGAACCCGCCACCTTAGGTGTATGTGGCTGGCGCCTTAGCCACTTGAGCCCCAGGTGCCGAGCCAATGTTTCAGAGTCTTATCCTATCCCTTCTCTCTCTTCACACCTCAATATTTCCTCTTTGTTTATTGTACCCCACTCTGTGGACAAAAGTGAGGTTACGCACTTGAAGAGATTATCTCTGTTACTCTAAAGCTGTGGTTCTCAACCTTCCTAATGCTGCAGCATTTAATACAGTTCCTGTGGGGCAAGAGCTAAAGCTTATGTCTAGCCATAATCTGAATTCCATTCTTTTGTTTTGTGACATCTATACATCACTCTAATTTGTTTTCTTTTAGGTTGCATAGCAGTAGGAAAATCCCTGAATAGCCGAAATTTTAGCAAGCTCTTGCATTCTTGCCAGTACCAGTGTGATCGTCACAAAGTCATTGTGGAAGCTGAAGACAAATATAAAAGTGAACTAAGGAAATCACTCATCTGTAACAAAAGTAATTAATTTAGCAGATTTAAAACCATAATTATGACTATACCTATCAGCTTATGCATTGAATATATTAAAAACTAGAGGGTAAATAATGTTGAAAAGAAAATCTGTGTCTAAGCAACCAGTAATTTAAGATGTACCTGGGCGTAGACTTAGTCTTGGTAGTTAAAAAATTCTTTCTAATCCACCTAAGAATTCCCACTAGAAGTGTGGGGAATGGAAATATCATACTAATGGAATTGATATGCTATTCAGGTTGATACTCTAATTATGCTAAATGATTTTCATATTTTTCAGAAATTCTGCTGACCCCACGTAGAAGACAACGACTCAGTAATGAATCTATTACCCCTGGAGAAATAAGTGAATATATTTAATTTTTAAATGAACTTAAATTTCATATATTCCTGAGAAAGAAGTGAACAGTGGAGTGGTTGTTCTTAGTTTCATCATTAATGGCTCTTAAATGATAGTGGTTGACTCTGATATGGGTCATACTTCCTATGAAAAAAGACCTCCCACTTCCCTTCATGTTGCTTGCTTACCCACTGTATGCAAGCTGGGAAGAGAGCAAGAGGAAACTAACATTTATCAAGCATTTGCTATGTGTTAGGTGTTTTATAGATATTATTTTCTTTAATTCTTACAAATAACATTGTAAAATAGGTATTTATTCCCCATTATAAGGCACATTAAGTTAGTAAACAACAGAACTTAGACTCAAATGTAAACTCCAGAAATGCCCTTGTTCTGTCCTCTGGATCACATTTCTATTTTAAGAACAAAATTAAAAGTGCTTCAGTGAGACTTTGCAGAAGATTTGTTTAAACTATAATATACTTTTATAGATATGGGGTCAGCAAGACTTTGCAGAAGATTTTTGTTCAAACTATATAATACTTCAAACATAAAAAATTGAAGAAATATACAGTATAAGTGCTTTAATACCCTGCTTAAATATCAAAATGCTTCTAAAGCAATTATATAATTTATTTAACTACAGGGTTAACATTTCAGGTTTATTATCTTTCGAAATTTATCACAGAGACTGTACAATATCATTGTCTTCTATTCACATGGAATTAACACTTGCTGAGTAAGAAAGTCAACCACATCACTTATCAAAGTAATCTAAAAATTAGTAACATCTGTAGAACCACCTGTTATTTATCACAGAGATATTGGAGTTGGTACATCCAAGAAGCATTTTGCCACATAATTTATTCAGCTATTTTTACTGCCAAAACCTTGAAAGAAATTTAAAACTTACTTTGTGTATGCATATGGTTTTGTTCGTTGTTTCAGAGAGTCTTACTTTGTTCTTGCGCTGGAGTGCAGTGGTGTCATCACTGCAACCTTGAACCTTTTGGGTTCAGGAAATCCTGCTGTCTCAGTCTCCTGTGTAGCTAAGGCTACAGGTGCATGCCACCATGCTTCATTAATTTTTTTAAAAAATTTTTATAGAGATGGGGTCTTGCTCTGTCACTCAGGCTGATCTTGAACCTCCTGGGCTCAAGCAAGCCTTGTGCCTTGGCCTCTCAAGGTGCTGAGATTACAGGTGTGAGCCACTGTACCCAGCTCCAGCTCAAATTTACTTTTTTTTTTGGAGACAGGGGCTTACTGTGTCACCTTCAGTAGAGTGCTGTGGTGTCAGAGCTCACAGCAACCTCAAACTCTTCAGTTCAAGCTATTCTCTTACCTCAACCTCCCACGTAGCTGTGACAACAGGCGTCTGACACAACACTGGGCTATTTTTTTTTTTTTTTGGTTGTAGTTGTCATTGTTGTTTAGCAGGCCCAGGCCAGGCTTAAATCCACCAGCCTCAGCGTATGTGGCCGGCACCCTACTCACTGAGCTACAGGTGCCAAGCCTCAAATTTACTTTTTATATCTAGGTCTTTTTCTAGGTTAAAAGTTCTATATGCAAATTAAAATTAAGTACAGTATCACTATAGAGGGGCCCACTTTTTGAAATAATACTTTCTGTAGAAACTGTTAGAAAATGGGCTCGGTACCTGTGGCTCAAGTGGCTAAGATGGCAGCCACATACACCTAAGGTGGCAGGTTCGAATCCAGCCGGGGCCCGCCAAACAACAATGACGGCTGCAGCCAAAAAATAGCCGGGCATTGTGGCGGGCGCCTGTAGTCCCAGCTACTTGGGAGGCTGAGGCAGGAGACTCGCTTGAGCCCAGGAGTTGGAGGTTGCTGTGAGCTGTAATGCCACAGCACTCTACCCAGGGGGACAGCTTTGTCTCAAAAAAAAAAAAGAAACTGTTAGAAAATGTACATTTTCCCAGAGACACATGTTGCACTTGGAAATCTTGTTCTTGACAAGGACTTGTCATCAAATTAATAATAAATTTGTTTCAGTAACATATCTTAAAAGCAAATATGTAACAACTAAAAATATTCTATAATCCATTTGCCTAGTAAAATCTGCAGAGCCTTATGAAATGGGCATATTATGGTTATACAGAGGGATCTTAAAAACTGTTAAGTGACATTTAGCTCATAAATACCATACATATTTTTTGTAGATTAGACTTGTGTTACAGCCAAACAATTAAGTTGCCTGATTTCTTAGCATTTAGAAAGGCATATTGAGAAAGTAGTGATTTATGAAAAACTGAGGCAAGAGGATTATTTTAGCCTGAGAGTTTGAGGTTGCTGAGAGGTATGATGCCAGGTCACTCTACCAAGGATGACAAAGTGAGACTCTGTCTCAAAAAAAAAAATTGTGCAATAAACCCTTCATCTCTTTCTGTCATGGAAGATATAACTGTACATAACACTCACTAAAATAGGCTGGGCACAGTGGCTCACACATGTAATCCTAGCACTCTGGGAGGCCAAGGCAGGTAGATTGCCTGAGCTCATGAGTTCCAGACCAGCCTGAGCCAGAGCGAGACCTTGTCTCTAAAAATAGCGGGGCATTGTGGTAGGCGCCTGTAGTCCTAGCTACTTGGGAGGCTGAGGAAAGAGAATCACTTGAGCTCAAGAGTTTGATATTGCTGTGAGCTGTGACACCATTGCACTCTACTGAGGGTGACTCTGTCTTAAAAAAAAAGTGAGACTCTGTCTTAAAAAAAAAAAGAGAGAAATTAGTGATTTGATTGGTCTTATATCTCTTTCACAAATAGGCCAGGAATATTTGGTATATTGCCATCTTTTTCCCCTCTTGATAAATTTCCCTTTCTTTTATGACATTCACCACCATTCATTTAACTATAGTTTACAATCAAACACGAGCCTATTCTTTTGAGAAAGGACCACTGTACTATCTAAGCATGTGAAGATTTCCCAAAGACTTTCTTTCAGGATAGATTGGTGTTCTGAGAGGATTTGAAAAATAAGAGCCCCTAAAATTAAGCCCGCCTGCCCAGTTTCCTTGCTTTTCCTTAACATTTAGTCAGTAGTAAGAGGAGTACTAAAGACGTCACCGAGGAACATCTTGGGGTGTAGTGAGTTGCTTCCTCTTTCCAGGCTGTCTGGTACTCTGATATAGGAACGTCTTGAGGATGTGTGCACAGATGTATAAGTCTAGGAGATGGTAGCTGCAATGGAAAAGTGGAACATTGTGTGATCAACTCTAGAGCCTCAATATCCTGAAAGTTATAATAACCTATTTAGTTCTGGTTATTATGAGTTTGAATCACGTAGCATATGAAGCTGAAGCCTATTTCTAGAATAACCACAGTTTTCTACTACACTCAAAAGTGAGGAGTAGCTTTACTGATGAGTTTTGAGACAATTTTACTAACAATTAGTTTTTCCTGTCATCAAATATTTACTGACTACCTACATGTGTCAGATACTATTCTAGGCACTGAGAATATAATGGTGAATAAAATAGACAAAAATCTCTGCCTTCATAGAGTTTGCACTTTAATGCTATTAAATAATAATCAGATGCTATTTATATACACGGATTCATCAACTTTCTGCTGGTAAGATATTCTCTTCCTTTTTTTTTTTAAATTTTTAAAAAATTTTTTGAGACAGAGCCTCAAGCTGTCACCCTGGGTAGAGTGCCATGGCATCACAGCTCACAGCAACCCCCAACTCCTGGGCTCAAGAGAGTCTCCTGCCTCAGCCTCCCAAGTAGCTGGAACTACAGGCGCCCGCCACAACGCCTGGCCATTTTTTGGTTGCAGCCATCATTGTTTGGCGGGCCTGGGCTGGGGATTCGAACCCACCACCTTAGGTGTATGTGGCTGGCGCCTTAGCCGCTTGAGCCACAGGCGCCGAGCCCATTCTCTTCTGTTTTAAAAGGTCTCAACTATTACTCTTATGTTAGGGAAGGTAGGCAAATGGCTGTGTTGGCCTACAAGGGCAAGATTTTCTAAGGATGAGTGAGCACAGCTATACCTGGTTGTACTAAAGTAAATAGCAGCCTCAAGTGGTAATATAAAAAACTCCTTAGTGACATCTACTTAAAATGATAACATGAGTTAACAATGAATGAAAAAGTTTGAAGAAAACTATGTTTACAGATACAGCTATGTATTCTTTCCATTATAGAAAGTATCCCTAAAAACCCAAATAGTTAAAAACTTCCTTCCCCACTGTGCAGCCTATTTTTAAGTTTTGGGGGTTTTTTGGTGACAGAGTCTTAGTATTTCAGCCTCGGTAGAGTGCTCTGGCATCACAGTTTGCAGCAACCTCAAACTCCAGGGCTTAAGCAATTCTCTTGCATCAGCCTTCCAAGTAGTTGGGACTACAGGTGCCCGCCACAACGCCTGGCTATTTTTTGGTTGCAGTTGTCATTACTGTTTGCCAGGCTCAGGATGGATTTAAACCTGCCAGCTCTGGTGTATGTAGCTGGCACCCTAGCCTCTGCAGGCTCCAAGCCCTATTTTTAAGTTTCTGTTAAGCTGACCGTGCATGTAGGTAGTGAATACACTTTTTAAAAACAAATTTCAAAAAACCCTTATTCTTAAAAATATTACTCAAACCTGATACTTAAAGTAACAAGTATTGATACTCTTTTCTATTCTATGAAGTTATGGAGCCCTTTGGGAAGACTGTATCTGTAAGATAGGTAAGCTGTTTGTTAACTGTCCTCACAGGAATGTTGAGTTAACAATTGAATGTTTATAAACTTTGTTTCTTAGTTGAAGATGTTGCATGTATTATCACAATAGACTTAGCTACAATTGTTGTAGAAGTCAGAGCAATAGTACGTAATAGTAGGCATTCTAGTTTTTAAAATTGAAGTGGATTTCAATAGGATGAGTAGTCTAGGCATGATGTTTTCTCACTCAACAGTTTATATCCTTATAGTAAGTTAAGCATTTGTTTGGGTCTTAAAACCTTTTTTCAGTAAGTACTAATATATTTTACAAATCTAATTAATTGCAGAAAAAAGAAGAATTCGTAAAAACTTTACCAAAGAAGAAGTGAATTACCTTTACAATGGAGTTAAGAAAATGGGAAATCACTGGAATTCAATTTTATGGTCTTTCCCTTTTCAGCAAGGACGGACAGCTGTGGACCTTGCTCGCAAATATCAAAAGCTGACCAAATACCCCAAATGTGGGGCTTCTTGATAGGAAGAATATTGTGTCAGTTTTTAGTTTGGACTCTTAAAATACAGTGCCTTAAAAAATACAGAATTTAAAGTAGTCTTTTAAACTCTCATGAGACAGGGAATGTAAAAGTGGGGATAGTTATAATTAAACAGTTTTTGTGATGCTGAAATTCATTGAATTAGAGTAGTTTATAAAGCAAATACATTTTTAATGTGCAGATTAGTAAAATAAAATTCCTTCTCAAGGTCACTTGTTTAGGAATATGCTTTTATTTTTTCTCAAGCTCAAAGAACATAGCTCAAGAGGAAAAATTAGCAGCCTTTAAACATTACAGTGAATACTACATGGGATATTTGGATTTTAACATGTTTACCTAGGGCCAAAGTACCCCTACCACGATCTCAGAAAATAGAACAGTTTCTGAAGCTATTCTGTTGAGATCCCCAAACACTAAATCAAAATATCAAAATGTTTGACATTTTGTTAATGAAAATGTTTCCTCTTCTAAAAGCTAATTGTTCATTGCTTTGAATATTCCCATATCTTGTGGTCATGTTTACTTTGTTTTGGAATAGGTCAATTTGCTTCAGCTTTTTTTTTTTTTTTTAAATAGAGTCTCACTTTTTCACCCTGGGTAGAGTACCATTGTGTCATCATAACTCAAAGTAACTTCAAACTCTTGGGCTCAAGTGATCCTCTTGCCTCAGCTTCCAGAGTAGCTAGGACTACAAGCGCCCACCACAATGCCTGGCTAATTTTTCTGCTTTTTTAGTAGAGACTGGGTTACACTTTTGCTCAGGCTGATCTCGAATTCTCAAGCTCAAATAATCCTCTAGCTTGGGCTTCCCAGAGTGCTAGGATTACAGGTGTGAGCCACCATGCCTAGCCTACCTTGCCTTTTTAAAAGTATCTACCACTTACTCCTCTTCCCCCTTCTAAATCTTTTTCATTTATCTTTTTTTAATAGATAAATGTCTCACTCTGTCACCCTAGCTGGAGAGCAGTGGCCCAAACATAACTCATTGTAACCTCAAACTCCTCAACTGATCTTCCCACTTCAGCATCTTAAATTGCTAGAACTTCAAGCCTATACCACCACACCTGGCTAATTTTTTATTTTAATTTTATTTATTTATTTTTATATACAGTTTCTGTAGAGACCATCCAAAATTACCAGTGCCAGCTATATTGCAAGTTGTCATGGCAGGGTATTGGGAAAAGTTTTCAATTAGCAGTGATTGTACCTCACGTAAACCCCATTGGCTACAATACTGCCACTGCAAAACTATTTTATTTTTTGTATAAACAGGGTTCTTACTATGTTGACCAGGTTGGTCTTGAACTCCTGGCCTCAAGTGATCCTCCTACCTTGGCCTCCCAAAGTGCTGAGGTTACAGGTGTGAGCCCCAGTGCCTGGCTCTTGTACATCTTTTGTCCTTTGTGCTGATGAGCCCTGGCTACTTGGAACAATATCATGTCCCTATATGATCTTAGTCAATGAATGCTGGACACCTGTCTTTATAAAATGTGTCCAAAGAAAATGCGATCTAAGAAGTGCAGCCTGACTGGCAGAGTAAGGAGTCAGCTTCTTTCCTTGGCCCTGTGAGGTTTTATGGACCCTAAGATGCTTCTTGGCATTCTACATGACCAACTCTCAGATTATAGTTATGACTCTTAGATTGTTTTTTATTATGTTCAAATATTTCCTGTCCATATGCTTTTTCTTTTTTTTTTTTTTTTTTT